GATAGGAGCGTAGTGACACGCGCTCAGGCGATTGCTTCTCAGTTGTTTTGAAAGCAGTCTACTCGACGCACTGAAGGTGACTGTGGCAGATGCTATCCATGTTTGGACATCCACAACAAAGTCTATCGGATCATAGTTGACTTTATTTTCAGCGAATATTTAGATATAACATCAACCTGATAGTTTGAGTAGATTGTTCACAGGGAGAACATAGCAGTCGTTCCTTGGAATTGACCGATTGATTGAATCAGTAATGACTTTAACGACTTTATTGCTGATCGTAAGGTTCGAATGCGTATGGCACCTAAGGTCCTCACCTTTAGCGCATCGAATTGAGCATATGCCAAGCACTTGAGAAACAATCATTGAAGCGTGCGATCGCTATGCTTCTGAAATATTTCATAAATATACCACCACGGTTTCACTTCGTTGCAGCAATTTCGATTAGATATACGGTGAAGACGAGGACACTTATCTGGCAAGAATGTATTTTTTGTTATTATAAACATGTGTTGATTCGATGTACATCAGAATAATTTATGAAGTTAGAGTGTTTGTGTATATGGAATTTGAGAATTATAGTGATGATTTGAAGCGAAGTAAATATTGTTACATGTTTCTATTAATTGTCTCGCACTTTAGAAGAACGTTCACTCTTCCGTTGTTCGTTCAGTTGCAATTGAATCAACGCACACATATGAATATCTCCTTCATATCCCCAAAAATTCTCATGCAACTCACAAAAACAACGTTATTCAGTCTAATTCATCAGATTGATTGAGTTTCGCTCCGAAGATTTCAGAAATTGAATTGATATTGAATCGAATTCGTCTAAACAACGATATTTTCCCTTAAGTGAATCAAGAATAAAAAGTCGTCAATGCGGTCCACGATGCATTCATTAACAAACGCAATGAAATCTTCTACATCAAACGAGTTCAATAAACGAATCATATGAAACATTTGAAAGGGCAGTAAATAATTGGAACAAGGAATGGTGTTGTAATGAAATGAGATTGCAAATTATTGGGATATTTAACCGATATTACGCATGAAAGAAACGTTTTGTTGAAAGGAGTCTGACCTGAATAATACTCAATCTGAGTACTTGCACTGACGATGTATGACCGACCGTTTCAGATGATAGTACTTGCATTCAATCTGATGTTGAATCAATCGGAAGTTCGAAATTCGATTCGATTATTTCATTCCATTCTATTCTTCTGCGACCAAAAATTCAACTCAATTTTTAGTCTTTTCCGTCCATAATTATGAGTTTTAGTCAACATAATTGTACACGCTAATGTATCGTCGCAATATTCACGCAACTCAGTTTTAATCCACGGAAGTACTTTACAAAAACCGTTTTTTAATGATCAAAAGACTGTCGTTAGCATTGTATTGACAGTTTCACATCACTAATGATCCCAGCGATAAGCTCCATTGATATTGAATGAGCAGCGTGGCTCAACTTCAAATGATGATCATTTGGTTGCAAACATCAAAGGCGTATCCATTCACAATTTGTATGATTATTTGAAAGTTTGATGGCATCATTTTAGACTTTTTATAACTAATGAGTATTCTACTAACGACTAATTCGTGTGGACATAGTTTGTTTTTATGTGTGTCGTTCACATATGTTGCCATTTTTACGATATTAACAATTTATTTAAAGATATTCCCGAATGCAACCTCTATCCGATTATGGACACGCGTTCGAGGACGGTTTCAGCAAGGCATTTTATTCGTATGGCAAACTAGTCGGCACTCATCCGGGCTCTTTTTTAGTGGGGTCATTGATATTCACCGTTATTTGTTCGACAGGTATACCGTATCTGCAAATCAATCTGGATCTTTACAAATTGTTTGTACCACTCAATGCTCCAGTTCGAACGGAATTCGAAAGGTAGTTTTCTCATTCTCCCATGAAGGTTTCGCACAAAGTTATATAAAGATGTGAAATGTGTGTTTAGGAGCAAAATTCGTGTGGGCATTTCATTCAGAATAGCACGAGAATAGAAGGGAAACGCTCGCTTTCGTATTTCAAATACCGGCTCAGTAATTCAAAATGATAATATAATGGAGGTACTATGTCATCGAATACAAGGATGAGTCACGACGAGAAACAAAATTTTCACGAATCGATATTGTCGAACCGTTTCCAAACATTTGTCAATGTAGAGTCGTTGAAATGACTTTTTGCATCATTCAACACAAGTGAAAAAAAACTGTTTGGGATTCATAACCAATACGCTAGACCACAACCATTAAAAAAAGTATTATTCATCGATATCATATGGACAAACTTTCGCGAGAAGCTGCCAGTGAACAATGACTGGAAGTGATTTTCTGAATAACGATGTGAGCATTCGTTTGAAACCGATACAAAACAACAACAAATGCAGTAATTTGCTGGCATCAGTTGACTGTTTCTCAGATCTGTGAATCAGATGCTTGAGTATTTCAGTGCAACGCTTCCTCAAAACAATTGCATTTAAAAACCTATTACAACACTTTCAGGTCTCAAGCGTTTCAAGCGATGTCAATTGGACCATTGCTGAACGAACATCCGCCAGAAAACAAACTAAAGCGACAAGCGCAATGTATATTTTTCGTTTTATATTTCTTTTTTTTCATAGCCCACTAGCATCTTTTTCATTATAATCTTTTCATTTCAACTCTTTTTTGACAATTCTTCGGTAAAAGATGACTGATCCAGAAACAGTGATGCATGAATTTGTTCAATGATTTATGAATAGAATTTAGGAAAATACGTACATTTGTCCTTGCCTGTCTTTTCAAATGTTGACTGATTCATGATCGATCATTAATCACTTTACAAAAACTGATCAGGGTATATTGTTGACATATTGCTTTATCAATTGATTACGGATTGTCTTCGTAATGTATTTTGTCGTCTTTCAGTACCAATTCACAATGACATCGCACGTTTTTACGTTGTTCATAAAAACTATGAGAATCTTCTGGAAGCGGAAACACTCTCGAGATTGTACCAATACACCAACGAAATACTTTCTGTGACAGCCGAATATGAAGGAAAAACGTTTCACTTTGAAAGCTTTTGTAAAAAAGTTCCGAATGAAAATGTAAATTTTTCTCTCTGATTGCATAAGTGATATATATTAGTTTCAAATATAGTAAATTTCGAAATGATATTTGGAAATACGATTCTTCAGGCTGATAATTGCTTTTTTGTTGAATGCCTTTGATTTGTTAGGTTGTTACATTCGCTCGATTGTTTCATCAACAAATTACCCGAAACAGCTAGAATAATGAATGCTGATCGTGTTGGTGATTCGTTGAAGTTATTTATCAGCGGGGCAATGGAAGATTGCTAGATTCGTACTTATGTGAATTAACGACTATTTCAGAAATGTGATAACAACTTGAATATATGGCTGAAGCATGCATACGTTCTGTTTCGTGATGGCAACACAAAAAACAATCCTAATCTGCAACTCTCATACCCCGTTATGTATCTCTTCAATAGACCGAAAGATATTGGCAATGTGAGTCGCAGAAATTATTATAAAACTGACCACTTCTCTCGGTACAATTAAAGTTTTCACCGGCGGTCATTGGTCAGTTTATAGAAACTGATCAGCATATATTAGTGAAAGTCGAACTTTCTATACTCTTTAAATGAGAATATGTTATGCTGAAGAATTTCATTATACTGACAGCAACCCAATTATTTAGTCCACCTAAAACCCCCGCAGAATTGTTACAGGCCTTCGTTATTTGGTGCTTCTCCCCGTTCGACATTTAAACCACAAGCAAATGAGGAATGCTTCGAAACAGTTTTTCCAAGTGATTGGAATTGTTTTCTGAAAGTGACGAAAACATTTGAGTGAAGACGAATGGCTCTTTTCAGGTTGTTTATGGCGTGAATGTAACCGGCGAAAAACATGAAATAGTTGGTGCGAGAGTGTTAACCTTGCATTGGTTCATCGAATTTCCAGCAACGCCTGAATTAGATGCTGCTTATTTGGTTTTTCGAGAAGCTATGGTTGAGTTCTGGAAGACGAAATCCGCTGCATCTGGTATTAACTTCATCCCACATAAGTGAGTAGTGCAAGAATCATGTGATTGATGTTTTTATGGTTAAAATTAAACAAAATAGTTGAAGTGAACACGCGATGGATGACGAAATGCGTCTGATCATTGAAACGGCCGTTCCATTCGCAATCCCAGTTTCGATTCAGTTGATGCTCTTCGTCATCTTTTCCAATTATTCATCTGACAGAAAGAAGTACGTAACACTTTTCTTAGTTTCATCTTGAATATTCCTTAAGATAATGTCATCATCTACATATTTGAGCATTGAAACGAATTGTTGAAGGTGACCGGTGCACGTTTGTGTTTACATATTACCTTTTGTTATAGCTGAAATGAAATGGATTTTTTCGTGCTTATAGCAGAGATTTTGATAAGCAGCTGAAATATTTTCGAGTTGTGAAGTGACCCATGCAAAATGTCTGAGTCATGATTCACCTGCAAAGGTTTCGTCGTTCAAGACAGACTATTTTTTTGAATGATATTGTTGGATAATCTCCGAGTCGTTCAGTTAAGTTGGTTGTTTCTGACTGTTTAATTTGAACAAGTCAACAGATGTATGCATTTCAAGGTCGAAGCAGCTTGTTTTCAGGTCGAAGCCCGTAGAGGGTTATTTGGCTGTTATTTCAGTGATTCTGTCACTGTGTTGTACATTCGGTTTGCTGTTCCGTGCCGGCATGCCATTCAATCCCGTGTCCAGCACAATGCCCTTCTTGATTCTTGCTGTTGGTCAGGAAATCTCTTACTTGTTTTTCGAATTCCAGTACTTTGAAAAACCATGTTAACAAATAATGGCGGATCAGACTCTTGATACTTCGCTGAATGAAGCTCTTGAGTGAATTGAATCACTCCTTCTAAACCAGCTTTGTTAGGATGGTCAGTCCTCGTTCGCTTGATCTCCCATCTTATATACTTTCAGTCTGTTGAATCCGGTTTGCATTCAACTGCACCGCACTCGCTCCTCCTTCTCAACACTTCATGCGACCTAGAATAGGTTTGCCCTAATCTCCGAAAAAAAACTGAAAAATTTTGTCGTTTCTTTAATGGAACTCCATCAATGGATCCTTATCCTCAATCATGTTGCTACTAAATAGTAAAATTTCCCTCACTCGCACACGTGATTCATTTATAACATCACGCTTTTCCGCTGAAAACACACCGAAAACCATTCTTCAAATAAAACGGTAAGAGATTAGGCACTAACTCGATTGTTTAGCAATCTTATTCCAGTACCCAACAGCATCTTTTCTGTCACAAAAATTCTGACATATTCATATTTGATCTTTCATACATCTGCACGCTCGAAACAGATTCCCTTCCGAAGCTTTCTGTAAAAACATGGCTGAGAATCTCGACTGATTAAATTCACCAATATTCATAATCACATGAATACGGTCTGAATGCATATTGTTTTACGTACTTCCGTCAATTCGTTCCATGTCCTACGTTCTCTTCTCGAAGCCATCTAAAACTTTCAGTGCGCTTCTTGTATTTTCATTATGAATAATTCAGAGACTGTAAATTCTCTGAAGTCCGTAAGCATTCAAAGAATGGAAAAAATGAAGAGTATTCAGTGCGGTCATCGTTTGTAGGTGTTGACGATGCGTTTCTGATGTTGGGTGCATGGCGTTCGACCGATCGACGTCTCGGTGTCGAGAAACGAATGGCGCTCGCAATGAGCGATGCAGGTGTTTCGATTACAGTAACGTCGCTCACAAACTTCGGTTGCTTTGGTTGGTTTTCTTTCGCTTCAGAGGGGAGTGGGAAGCATTGTGATATTTTGTGAACAATTTCATTTGTCGTTTCAGCGTTGGGTTATTTCCTGTGCTCAACACCAGCTGTGGCCGATTTCTGCATTCTTACGGCCTGTGGCGTAATGCTTGATTACGCTTTCCAAATAACCTTTTTCGCAGCCTGTATGGTATACGGTGGACGAAGAGAGGATGCTGGAGGTCTTTTGTCGTGTTGCTATCACACCGAATCGATCAACGGAAAGTCGAGTTTGAGTGAGAAGCAGGAGAGAAGCTCAAGTTAGTGGATCAATTCGCTTACACTGATATCCTCTTAATCAAGTTCACATCTCTTTGCAACTTGTCGACCGTAGTATACGTTCCACTAGTGGCTATATTGAC